CGCCTGCACCTCTGCAAGCTGAGCCTCATGGGCAAGTGCCGCCGCGCGGCCAGGTGAGCGCGGGCGGGCGGGCGGTCTGCCCCCCGGGGCTGCGCGGGCCGGCCGTTTTTATTATTCCTCCTTCTTCTTCTTCTTCTTTTTTCCTCCCTGTCCCCGACTACACTAGAATCTGGATGAAAATAGCATACCGGTATTACTTTATTAGAAACGAAAAAGGTGCTTACAAACCACCTGTTTTAAATCTGGAATATTAAGTTTTAATCACTTAATTTTGCTTAAAATCACTGCTCGTTTACGGCCATATCTCTCAGAGATGGTGCTTAATCTCCTGCTTACTGCAGTCTCTGTTTTCTAGACTTAGCCCAAAAAAGGAAGAAGAGTAGGAAGGTTGGGATGCACACAGGCTTTCTAGAGATGTCATCCCTTTTTTTCCTGACTAATCAAAGCCGATACAGAATTTACAATAATTACATTAAAAACAAATGCGGAAATGGCAATCTCGTTGCTAAGAGCCAAAAGTTCCACTGAACTGTCTCTGGAGAAAAAATATTTAACTGGTTCTCCAAAGCCTTGTGTTTTGCTCTGTGATGCTGTTTGCGATGTGCCGATGTCATGCCGGATCCCAGGATAACAGTAGTTCGTTGTGCAGCCAAATCTGAAGGGAAGGCCATGCATAGCTCAGAATGGTCCTAGCAATTTTAGGATGCTAACATTTTCTTATTTTTTTCTGGCTTTACTGTATTGACTCAGTAAAATAAAAAGCTTCCTTATTTGATTAACAAGTATCTTTAAGTGCGTGGAGCCCTCACACATTCAAGGGAACAAAAGTGCGCTGTTGAGTTATTTGCTTCATAATGTTGAAAAAACAGAGAATTCTGGGCTCTCAGTGTTGCTAGGTGTTCAAAATTCACTTTATGCATGTTGATAACTAATAAAAGAAAGAATAGACCTTTGAGAGCATATTTATATGGAGGGTGATTAAAACAATGGGATAGATACAGCGCTGGATGGGTCAGGTACCATGTGGATCAAGAGAGAAGATTATTTTAATTGAAAAAGCATAATCTAACCGTGCTTCCACATCTTGCATTTGTTTTGGTTTTAGAATCTCTGGGAAGAAAAGCATTTGAAGCAGGTCTCTCTGTTTAATGAAAGTGGTGCATCTTGGGATCAAGTCAAGCCATTTTTAACTTGTGTCTGATGAAAAGCTTTTCAGTTATTTTTCCTCCAATATATTGTTAAATCAACCAGATCTTCTACTAGTCTACTTGCGAGCTATTTCATAGCTGGACATCGTAGTTTAGTGGCCAATGTGACTGTTGTTGGAATCTAAAGTTAACTCTGAATTTATGTTGATGGCTCTAACCTTGAATGCCTTGTAGCAACTGTTATAGCCATTAATCCAGTGTCTGCAGAGTCCAGGATCGCTAAAAGATCATTTCGCAGGACCAAAAAATGGTAGATATCCACTTCAGAGTTGCATATTTATTTATTTGCTTACAAAGCAAAGTGTCCTACTTATAGTAGAAGGAGAAATGAATGCATCAAAGTATGTGAAGTATTGGATGAGATACAGCACGAGGAAAAAATGTTATTAGAAGTTTCAAAAGACTTTCTAGTTTCAAATGAAGTGCAAGAGGACTGGCACAAGAGAGACTGCATTCCTGGCAGTGCTGAGTGACTTTTTTTTTTGGTTTTGTATATCTAGTCTTAATGCTGTAATAGGTCATACTTTCGAAGAGTGAGACTTACTGAAGCTTTCTTCCCAGACGGCAGGAATAACAAAATGTGTTGTGTTTAGCTTCATTAGCTTTCTGTTCGGGATCCCGAACTGTTGCTTCTTTACAGTCCCTAACTAGGACAACAATCTTTTATGTTCATAAAATTAAGGTTGTTGTAACCGCCATCATCACCAATGTATATTCTCTTAAAATAGCTTTTCTTCCAAATGGAAGGAAAAAGAGTTGTGTGACTTACTTTGTACTGGAAAGGAAGAAAGAGTCGTCAAAGCTGGCTCCCAATCTGTGCTTTTATCTTTCTTATCAAATGGTCTGGCCATGTAAATGTTTAAAATGGGGAAAATAATGCTATTATATTTCACAGAGTTATTTTGCTGAGTATTCCATTCTCTACCTGATTTGGTAAGAGAAGCCATCTAAATGCTCACAGAAACTTTTGTGAGACTATCTCTGTGGCTTTTTCCAAACTGTGCAATGTTTAAGATGCTTCAATAAATGAACCTGATTGAAGAAGTGAGCATCTGATACTTCTGTTTTCTTGCAGCGCTTGTAACTACTGCCATGACATCAACACGGCTGAGAACAAAAAAATCCTAAAGACCCATGAGCTGTCTGGTCTCAATGAGAATGAGCTGAAAGTACTGCTTCTCCAAAATGATCCTTTCCTTCTCCCTGATGTGAGTTGTACTGATTTCCTAAGGGAAATTTTTGTTAGTTAAAAGGACAAGAAAGAAGATTGAAAACTGATCTGAATGCTAAACTGTTAAGTTTTGTAACAGAAAGGTAAAGATTAGTCTGAATGACATATAAATGGTAACAGCTGTGCAGGAGAGCACCAGATGAACCAATATACAGATTATAAAAATGGTAAGTATTAATAACCAAAAGCATGACATCAGGAAAACTGTAAAACATTGAGGAGTGTACTATTTACATAAAAGCCACGAGGTCCACGCTTTCATAATGCCACGTCACATGTGTCTAGCCAGTAAATCTGCCCTCTGACAGCAGGAAGTTGACAGTAAAGCTACAGCATATTTGGTGTGCCTGTTACCCTGACGGGAAGACAAACTATAACCATAATGCTATCTAAAACAAGGAAAGAGTGACAAAAATGTTAGCATCTTCACCAGAGATTTACAGAGTGTGATGTGAGCAAGACTGAGGTGAAAAAATCCCCACACAATTATTCTACAAACTTGCAGGGTATAAAACACTTGTCCAAAAACTGTTTGTTCTTTCTTATCAGCAATAGAAGTTCTTAACCAAGAGATGATGAACATCAGAAAGGTGGCATCCCTTTCCCTGGCCAAACTACATAATTCTGCACTTTTGGTGTTTGGGAGTGAGAGAGTGAGTGAAACATATGAGAAAATGACCAAGTGACTGAAGTAAATTTTGTGTAAAATCTTTTCCTTTCAAATTCTTGCACCGATGTTTCAGTTAATTTCCCACATAATTTCCAACAAACCAAAATTTGGTTTGAGTTGATGTTAACTTTGGTTAAACCATGCAATTTCAGGTTCTGTGTCAGTTTATGACACCAATTCTACCTTCAAGGCAGGTCTGTTTCTGTATCTTGTTCCACCTGTGGCTGGTCCTGGTTAAGAGATTACCACAGTACTGCTTGTTACCATTGTTTTTTTGGCAGTTATAAGCTTCTTACACTGCTGGATAACAGTTATATTGTTGTGTAACTCCCTTTTGTCATAGGTTCTGGATGTAGATAGAATAAAACATTTTTTGTATCATTTTAAAATACATAATATAACACATAATATAATATAAAAATACATAATATAATACATTATACATAAAATGCACTCACTAGAGAATACAAAGGAGTTTTTGGTGTATGGCTTCTCCTGTGGGTCCAATTCATTGCATATCTCTTGTTTGTTGAGTAGGAGCATAAAAAAGTGCATTGTACTTCCATAGGTATTCTAATCTCACAGCATGCTTCATATCGTTAGAAGCTCAAGTCTTCAGTGCAGAGCGCTTTACAAAACATTCTGCAGGTTCTCCTTCACAAAGTGATAACCACACAACACAGGATAAGAGTTTTCAAGGGTAGGCTTGTTATTCTTTATCTTATATATAAAATAACTGTAAATTGGGCAGTTGTTACGAGAAAAAGCTGTCTTGCTCAGAAGTGACAAAGTGAATGCTTTCTTTCTTTCTTTCTTTCTTTTTTTTTTTTTTTGAAACAACTGCATAACTTTAAAAATGCATGAGTCAGCTGCAAATGCCTACTCCTCCCCACAAGAATTCTGCCCAGGTTACAGAAGTTACAATGAACATAACTGTGCCATTTAGTCACAGATCTTCTGCCACTGAAATTGTGTATATATATATAGAGAGAGAATGAATTTTAAAAATATTGATTCTAATGTGCTGTTTTTTGAGTTCATATTGCATCTTTCCTTCCTGCTTCTAGGTATGCCAATTTTACAACCAAGGGAAAGACACCTGCACCCAGCAAAACAACTGCAACAAGCTTCATATTTGCCGACACTTCCTCCGAGGGGAATGTAGATTTCTTCAGTGCAAGAGATCCCACAGCCTCCTGAATGCCCATGAATTGTCTATATTGAAAACTGGTGGGATTGATTTCAACACAGCTTTGAACTTCCAGACTATATGTGATCACAAGCATGTGGAATTCAACGAGGAACTGAAGAAGGCGAAAATAAGTTGTAAGAAACACTGCATTTAAATAGTATTATGAATTTGGCAGAGGTAGAACCCATTCTTCCCTTACCTCACAGCTAAACCTATCATTCTTTCTATGCTTTGAGTGCTAAAGCACAAAACAAGAGAAACTAGAGGGAAAAATGCAGTGACGGAATAGTTTAGGGAAGGAGAACTGTTATAGTTGCATATGCTATTATATACAAGATCACAATTGAGTGATTGCTGATAATCGTGACTATCTGGGATTTGTAACTGTAACTGCTGATCTGCTAAATCAGCAGGAGATTGGAAAATAATACAAGTGTGATGGAAATGATCCTCATCACACAAATTGGTATGGCACCAGTTAGCTGAAGATATGGTCCAGCAGTCCTGTTCATTCAGCCTTCTCTTGCAGGTCCCCGGAGCAGTGCACGTGGTCAGAACCAACACCAGCAGCCTACAGGAGGGGAAAATAGTGATGAAGGTATGCACTGTTTCTAACTGTTCAGCGTTCAGAGCAGTGGTGCTCAATTGGACTTGCTTTCATGGAACTGTACAGCTCCCTGTAGTTGTTGGAGAAGCTTATGTGATTGCCCTAGCATATGCTGAAAGACATAGTATTAGTCAGCCTGCAGAGGAGTAGTGAGATTTCTGCTCAAGATTTGGACAGCAATGGCATATATGTGCCCAGTCTAAGGAGTAGTCTGGGATTGATCTCTTGATTGTTCTGGAAGCAATGCTTTCTTCCATGGGTTGGAGACAGAACTGCATCTATGCGTGTGGAATCTTTCCTCACCTTCCTCCCCAAGGAATGGATTTGTCTGTACTATTGTAAGTTAAGAGGTTTTCTTGTTATGTATATTCCAGTGGGTGAACAGGAACTATTAAATGCCATGTCCTGCAAAGCAGAAGGGCCTTGGTTTTAAAGCGGACTGTAAGAGTAAGAGCTATAGGGGGACAGTAACATCCTGAAAGTTCTTACCTTGGCAATTGCAATCAACTCCTGGCTGTTTTCGGATGAAATGCCAAATGTAGTGTCTTTCTCTTTGAATTGTTTTGGGGAGGGCAAATAAGGAATGATGTGTTCCTTCCTGTAGATAAAAAAGATGATTCCTCTGCTAAAGATTCAAAGGACAATAAAATAGACAAGTGTGATGAGATATGCTTGTTCTACGTCTGGAAATACTGCAAAAATAAAGGTAAGCCTTACCAAAAATAATGTCGTCTTTGGAGAGTCTGCAGAGGCAGAATCTTTTTGACAGCTCAGACAAAAGTGGTGGAATTTGGAGAGGTGGCATTGACCATTATGCCTTCTCTTTGATTCACTTTGATTCCAAGTCACTAATGAATAGTGTCAGAATTGCAAAGATAATCAGGGGAAAGCCAACAGGATACTTGTAAACCTTTCCTCTGCAGGTGATGCATTTATGGCTTGTTTCTGTTATGCTGAGGGGGAAGGCCTTACACATGTTTCTATGGCAAGAACCTTCAAATATTAATTGTCAACACTTTCTGTGAATATTGGACCAATTTAATAACTGGTCTTACAGCATCACTAATGATGATCATTAAAAATATGTCATCCTTCAGTTCTGTCTTAGGTATGCCAGATACAAGCCATATTGTCTTAAGGATACTTAGTAATTCTACCAACTAACGATAGATCTCGTCCATCCCATACCTGACAGTCCAATAACTGGACTCTAGGGAAGTGAGAGATGTGGTAGTGTGACACACAGACATCAGCTGCCCTTCTGTGGCACTGCTCTCCCATCTGTCAATGTGGTGTCCCAGTGAAGAGAAAGTTATGGTTTCTTTGAAATGTATTTGGCAATATGAGCTCTTATGTTGCTTTCCTTGGTGTGACTGAAGAAATACACTCCTTTTATTTCAAGTATCTCTAGTTTCAGTGAACTATCTTTATTTTTCCCAGTAAAGGCCATAAGGCCAAAGAAGAGTATAAAAGTGCTTTTCTTGCTCTCAGTTTGTGTTACAATTGCAGAGCTCTTGACTATATCTGATCTCATTGCAGATAAATGCAAACAGGTTCATTACCATTTGCCATATCGATGGCAGGTATATAATGGGATCACCTGGAATGATCTTTCCATGATGGAGGAAATCGAAAAAGCCTATTGTGACCCCAAAAACAGCAGGTATAATAATGATGGCTGTACTGGTTACTTCAAGTCCCTGAAGAACTGATTTCTTCTCAAAGATGCATGACTCCATAATCTTTGATTACTGAGGTGTTTCGAATCTGGAAGGATGTACAAAATAAAAATATGTTCTTTAAAACAGAAAAGTAAAAGAAGTACCTGCATGGAAATATCACCTATTTTTTAATCTATATAATAACATGCCAATACTTTGCTCTTAAAATTCTACATAGGGTAGTAATTTGTGGTAGGAATTTAGTGCTGTGAATTTATGGGCAATATTTTAAATACCTAATGATAATTTATTTGCAATAATTCTTTTGGGATGCTTGACAACAATTGATATAATGGCATGGTCATGTTGGCCTTTGCCTCTCCAGACAGCAAATGATTTTTTTGAGCATCCAGACTCCTGGATGGTGCAAATGACAAGCAAAATTCCCAGGAGGAGGCCACTTTCAAAGTCTTTCTGCCTGAGCAGGAAGAGTTAATTGCTACATTATGCGTGTAACCCCAAATTGTCTAGAAGGTTGTCAGCCAAACATCTGGTTAGAGACTAAGATTGCATTCAGTCTCTCACAGGCCATAGTTCAGCCCAAAAGCCAGGAAGCGGTTTTCAGAAATTCCAGACATATTGCAGGAAGATATTATTATTTTGGCCCTAAATAACTTCAGCCAGTCACATTATATTAAATAAAATTGCTACCACCTAAACCAGATATTAGAAAATAAAATATATATTGTTAAATTTGGAAACCTCTGAATTTGTCCTCACAGAATAGCAGATAAGAATATTAATTTTGAGATGATGACTTGCGGTACTTCTTCACTTCGACGCCTTTCTACACCGTCATCTGTGACAAAACCCACATTTGCATTGACCACACAGTGGATTTGGTATTGGAAAGATGATCGAGGCCAATGGAGTGAATATGGAAAACAAGTGAGTCCATATACTCCACGTCTTCCTCATTCTGTGCTGAAGCAGTGTCACCTCTTCCCCTCAACTTGCCTTTAGTCAATTAAGTAAATACTTGTGTTTACATTTTAGAGTGTCAAACAAGGTAGTGAAGCTATAGATGTTCTTAACAAACGTGCTAAAATAATGGTAGAAGGGCAGGAACATGCCTAATGTCCTTATACTCAGACTAAACACCAGCAATTGGTTCTTGGTTTCCTATGGCTGGAAATGGAAAGCATCTCCATCAGCATCTCCTCGTATTTTAAATTCTTTTGTAAATGAGAGACCACCCCGGTGTAGAAATCTAAGTAGCATATGTGTGTGTGTATCCTTGCTAATTGTGGTTGTGTCTGTATGTAACAAGTGGTTGGCAATTACACTTTAGGTCACAGTAGTTCTGTGTAGATTCCTCTTCATCCTTCTTTTCACCATTTCTTTCCCTCTACCTTTGGAAAAACAAAACAAAACAAAGGGAAAAGCCCAGTGTTTCCAGTTGGTTTCTGTTGCAAGACATATATTGAGTCTGAATGTCTGGGTATTTTTAAAAGAGAGCCAGAAGAGTTACACTGCTCTGTGCTCTGTGCACTGCTCTGTGCATTTTTTGGTATGGTGGCGTGCAAGGCTGTTACTGTTTTGTCCTTACCAATCTTTTCTTTCTCCGTATCTCCCTTTACTCTTTTTGCTATCTCCTGTTCTATCTTCTCTTTCTCCTGAATCTGCCTCCTAATGGCCCTTACCCAGCAGAAAAGGTCTGGAAAGCCAAGAGTCTTCCCTCCTATGAGCTTGCAGCGCAACTCCTCACTCATCCATCAACAACTCGTGCAAGAGCCTCTTCATGCATCTCATGTCTGTGTCTGACTTTGAGATCTGTTTTTCTTCTGGAAGCTACACTCTCTCTGTTTGAAAGAGGCTTATTATTCCCATTTATGTCTGCATGTCTGTGGTTTTCACCTTTTTTTCTTTCACCCTTTTTATGGTTTTGGCCTTAATTTCACTGTGGACAAGAACCAGACATTTTATTTACCTGCTTAAGAGTGTGTGCATTGCATCATTTCATCTGCAGAATTTTTAATTTGATTTTTGATTACCATTGTCTTGATAAAAACAGTGTTTAATGCTGACCATGTTTAGTGATTCTTCTTCTCTCTCTCTCTCTCTCTTTTATCCTAAAGGGAGAAGGGGGTGAGATGACATCACCAGCCTCTGATAGTCTTGAGAATTTATATCTAGCCGATCAAGATGCCACTATACCTTTCCAGGCTGGTTGGCATCATTACGAGATCAATTTTAAAGGTACCATTCTAATTTATTGCTATGTATTGCTTGACAAAAACTATCCAGCTCTCCTAGTCCCTTTGTTTCACTGGCTTTACCAGCTTTACTCCCTGGCAGAAGTGAGGTAGTGATGACTCAGAGGAAATTTTACAAAACTAGCGTTCCCTCTTACTCCTATACTCTGTCCAGGATCTCATGTAGGAGCAGAAATGAGATGATACTGCACCAAGTCATGATAAACCTCCTGAGGTAAAGTCAGGGAACCCTATGAATGGTGAAAATGAAAAATCAAGCATCTTTCAGTATCCATCAAGCTCTTGCAGTAACTTTTAGAGAACATTAATGTATAAAGGAATTAACAAGACATACAGTTTTAAAAAGGGAGTTACGGGAAAGGATAGGAAGCTTGTGCAGATTTTGTCCAGTTGTTCTTCAGTAGACGAGACTGACAATGAAAATGCTGTCTTTCATTAATGAATACCTGCTATCTTTCAAGAATAACTCAACCTTGCAAACTCCTTCAAGACTTTTTCTTTTTCCTTCTCTCTTCCCCTCCAGAAATGACCCAGACAAATGTCCACTTCGGAGCTAAAAGAAAGGTCTGCAGACGTCCAAAGTTTGTGTCTTCTGAAGATGTGGAGAAGATTAAGAAAGGGTAATGCTGCATCTAAGTTGTGGTAATTGGTCAAAAGTACCTGTGAGGCAAATGGTTGTCAGTATGGACTGTCGTTGTGCAAAGAATGCAAATGTTACTGGAAGAAAACCTCTCCACTTGACTGACCAGAAGAGGTACCAGGGCCTCTGCCTGCTTGGTACAGAGCAGCCCAGCTTACAGAGGGAGTCTGTATCCCCGGTCCTATGTGGCATAGGGGAGGTTTTTTTTATTATTATTTAGAAGATGAGGAATATTTCTGGGGAGAGGTGGTAGGAACTGGCTAAAGGGGATGCTGCCTGTTTCAAAGCTCATAGCAGGACTAGAATTAGTAACACCTAACATCTTTTTTTTTTTTTTTTTTTTCCTGGTTGGAAACAGACAAAGGGATTCTTCTATTCCAAATCAAACATGTCCTGTCCACTGGGATCAATCTGCACTGCCTGAGTTGGGATATAAGGTATCTTTTTCTCCCCCTTCGTAATTCTGATGAAAAGGCATGATAGGAAGGGGGAGATAGTTTAAATGAAGGGATCACATAAGCAGATGGTAAAATGTGACAAGAATTGCTTTTTTGGGTGCATGTGCTAAATGTCTAGATGACTTCCAAAGAGCTTTCGGAAAAGTTGCCAAACTCTTGTTTGTACTTATCATATAAAGACACAAATTCAGGACACATAAGTCCACTACTAAAAATGTTGCAGAGGTGGACAGGTGGACCAGATAAGGAAGTGGATTCTGTGAACTACGTATTTCTTCACTAGAACCTGGGCTGAGAATAAACCCTGGCTGCATCAACTGTTATAAAGCCATAAAGAATACTACCATGATGGTTGTCAGTGGATAAGGTTTGGCCTGGAAAGCTAGAAAGATCAGTCTGTACATGCTCTAAAGATAATACCCTCCACTATCACACACATAACAGACCTGAGCGCAGTCCGTAGCCTCAAAGAGTGTCAGAGAGAAAGCATTATTGTCACTAGTATTTAAAACTATTTTCAGTGGTCTGAGAATAGAGTTACATTGGGAGTAGTATGAGCAACAGAAGTACCACTTTTTAGCTTACATGAGCTGGTCCTGTTATCCTACTTTGTGCTGCACATTTCATTTTACCCTGACTCTCCTCTTCTGCTGGATTATGCCTTACCTGTTGGAATACCAGTGTCTGTGTGTCTGTATGTGTGTGTGTAAGTCATCCACGTACGGTTCTGAAAAATCAGTAGGCTAAAATTCAGGAAATTTGCTCTATAGGTCAGCTCCTTCTGGATAGCTAAAACCTATTTTCCACAGTTAGTGTAAAAAGTATTTTTTCTAGATTGTATCAGATAAATCAGCAGAAGCTGTATGTTTAATTCATGACAGTTTGTGTGGGAATATGGCAGCTGCACCTCTTTTAAGAAGCATAATACCAACCTCAGCTGACATTTTTTAAAGGAATGATAGGAAGAACAATACCTTTGTCCTTTTTAGATCTCTCTGTTACATGTATTTCCTGCTTTTCTCACTTTCTCTGCAAACCTCCATCTTAATTTGAGTTGAGTCCATTTGTTTAGGTGTTTCTGAAGTCACTGAGGTAAAAGGCTTATATACTATGATAATTTGATGCCCAAATCAATGGTACCTCTGGTACTTGTGTGGATGTGTGAAATAGAAGGATCATTTTGTTTTCATGAGCCCGATTTGCTTGCTGACCTAAAAAGACTGAACTTGTAAATTCAGTGTCTTTGATACGAAAGGAGAAGTTAACTCTTTATCTAAAAGTGACAATGACAGTAGTACCTTTCAGAACTAGGAATCCAAGCCTGGACTAGATTAAGCATTTTCTCTGGGACCCTAAGCATGTTTTTTTACAGTAGGTAATATGGGGAGTGACTGGGATTCTGGATGCATGCGGCGACTGTCATAACATCTGACAATAACAACTTGATGAATTCCCTGTCCTTCAAACACTGGCAAATAATCCTGCACGTTACACATAGATAGCACCAGTTCCAAAAGAGCTGTGAATCTCTTCCATCTTTGTTTAACAGATCAAGTGGAATCAGGGGATCATAAGCCTGCAGTTGTCACTAGCTCTTGATGCTGTGTTTCAAGTTCTACCTTTCATCCAGGACACAGACATGAGTGCCACCAAGGCAGTGTGCCTCTGTGTCAGCAGATGGGTCTTTGTGTGGCTGCTGTTTTCCTGAAGCCCCACAGGCATGCCAATGCTTGCTGTGCTGTAGTGAGAGCGGGAGCTGAGGTATCAAGAGTCTAGCTTTGCACTCCATAAATGGCAGGCATATTTGGATCCACCCAACCAATCATACTGCTCCCGAGATGCATGTTAAGAAGACATCACCATTTGACCTCACATAGTGTGTAGCTGAAGTCGCCATGTGGTGTTCCCCTTTATTAGCAGGGGATGCATCTCGGAGGGCAGAAGAATGAACCCACACAGTTTGGCTGCAAGAGGACTGGCTTTGTTGCTTGTGAACCATCATATTAAAATATAATTCATGAACCTGTCCTACAGGATCAGGCCTTTTACCCTGTAGCTGACCCTCCATTTCACCCAGAACTGTGAGAGTTCCTCAGCAGAAGATGCAACATAGAAGTATATTTTGTAGTCTGAATAGGAGCTTTACACATGTCATTAAGAGTTGTAATGCTTAAATATATTATAGCTATAATTTTCACCCTAAAGGTGACGAAGAAGTTGATCTCTGGTATCCTAAGCTGTGCAGATAATGAAATCCTGACTCAATCAGATGCAAGTATTGCAAATTGGCTTTGAAAAGTATTCTTGCATGAGAATTAATGTGGGAAATATCCTTCCACTTTGTAAAAGCTATTTAATAAATCCAAAGAAGAAATTCTTCTGTGTGCAGCTGACTTTATTCTTCTAATTCTTTTTCTCCTTATAAGACTTTCATGTGAAAGGCCTCTTCTTTATTCAAGTATTTAATCAACAAACTGGACGTGCTGTCTGAAAAAAGATATCATTGTTTGGAGTGTGAAGTCTTTTTTTTTTCCTCTCTAAACTCGTTTTTAGATGGAGGATGAAGTTTGTGACAAAAAGGCCAAGCTGTAGGTTTCACGTTAACTCCTAGGAGGATCCTAGTTTTCCTTCCTGGACTATGTCTCTGAGACAGGGGATGTAGGGTTTTTGACCTGAAGTCATAAGGAGTCCCACCTGTCTTAGGCAGCAGTAAAGTGAGAAGTGTCACCAAATTGCATCTCTCTGTGAGCATTATGCATTTTCGATCTGGTTTACAGAAGGGAAGTGGTCATTCTAGAAGACTAAAGGCACAGATGACTTTGGAGATAAAACTGCCAAATTCATGCATGACAGAAGGAAGCAAGAGAACATAATTCATAGTTTAATTCTCTATTTTATTGACTTTTCATTGGAGGAAATGTCAACTTTTAGGTAGCTTGTAAACAGTGGGAGAAGTATTGGCAAGTGTAGGCTTTGTTTCCCCTAGCAAAGGAGTAGGTATGTTTAATTAAGCAGCCCTGCAGTTCCCGAAGCTTTTATTGAAGTGTGAGTTTTTGAGTTTTAACTTGGGAAAGCTAAAGAACCATGAAGCTGGATGGCTGTACAGATGCTGTGTGTTTCCTTTGTAATAGCCAAAGCTTCCTGAAATGTCTGGGGACAAATGCAAATGTCATCTAGTAGCTTTTGTTCTTAATCTTAATGGGTCAGGTAATTTTAAGATTGATTTCGTACTGCAATCTAAATTTTATAGGTCTTGCCTCTTCCTTGGACATGATAAGCATTTCACTGAGCCCTTCTATACCTTCAGGGTGCTCCCACAAGAGAGGCCAGGTATCTTTCTGGAGCAGAAGTGATAGGCTGATTCGCATATCTATTGTCTGCCCAAATTGCTCACATCAGTCTAAAGCACCAAATTAAACCCTCTTAGGTCTACCGGGAGTCCCTTGAAAGTACGTCTTCTTTGGTTTGGCTTTTGTGTGTTATGAGCTACCTGGAACTTCATGGATTCTTTTGCTCTGGTTTGTATTTTATAGGCAGTGGAGCTCACTAGTACATCCTCTGAATACAAGTTAATACAGAAGATGTTTGAGAAGACTATGAAAAGACACTCTGTCCATAGGATAAGTAGGATCCAGAATCCATCCCTCTGGAAGGTTTTTCAGTGGTTCGTATCTGTTCTGTCATTGTGAAAGGGAGGGAGTCCCAAGTTCTGTCCTCCTATACCTGCTTCCAGGAAGGTAAAGAGGTTAACACCTGTGCTTTAAACTGCACCTGTGTTTGCTTTGTAGGAGCAGTTTCAGAAGTGAAATTCAGTGGCTAACTCCTATAAGTTAGACTCATCCTTTAAATTAGTGATCACTGAGTTCCAGGGCTCCTTTGGGGCTTTCAACATCTCTATGAGTAATATTGAATTGCTGATATTGCCAATTTGAATACCAGTAGATTTGAGTTGGCACCGATGCAATACATTATGATGTTCAAGTTTATTTCTTTGTAGAAAAAAAAAATCAGACATTGCTTTTTCATAGCAGAGTTGTATATTTCAAGCAAAAGCACCAGTATTTAATACAAATGCTCAAAATTCTACAAAATGGTATTGAAGAGGAAAAATATTTCTCCAAGGAATACTTAAACCTGCAAAGTGGTTTAACCCACGAAGTCCTTGCCTAATAACCTCATAAAACTTTTACAGCTAGCCAAACTTAGTCATGTCAAAGCATCTAAAGTGTATGCTTTTCTATCCTTCCTCCAACAGTGTCTGAAGACTTTTAAACTAAAATGGAAGATTATGTTCTCCACAAGCAAATTTTGGTCCATTGCTCTTAACTGTTCATCTATGCTTCTTTTTTTTCAATGAGCAGTGCTTCTCCTCTTTCCCCTGCTATGGCTACCTTGGTCATTTTCTGACAAATCTCGTCCACTTAAATATCTCCTGAAAATCCGTGGGAAATTTTGATGCTGTCAAGTGGTGGTGGAACATCCTAGCTGCATCTTCCCATCGTGTGGTTCATCTTTTGAGGCAGATCATAGCGCATTCCCTGAGCCTAGCCTAAAAGCTTTAGGTCTTCAATGGTGTTGAAGGGTAATTTTCTCTCCTGCCTCTGTCTGCCCAGCACACCAGATCTCACTGAGCGGCCAGGCTGCTGGAGGCTTACAGCAGCGCAGGTCATCGAGGGGTTGTTAGGAGAGCACAGCCAAGGCAGAAAGCCCAGCTCAGCACAGCCATGTCCCCTTGCAACATGACTGTCCCTGTATGCATGGCAGTTTGAGTTCAGCAGAGGAGCAAGGAAAAGCTCCCTCTAATGTTTCCCCATTGCTGGAGTGGGAAGGATCTGCAGTTACCACCCCCCACTCTCCAGAGGAAATTTGGGATGGGAGGGGTGGGACGGGAGAGGAGAAAGGAAAGCAGAGCTAGTAGGACCCTGCTGGGGGCAAAAAGATTGATACAGGAGGGACTGTCCTAGCACTGCTGCTTATTCCCGGCTCTCTTCAGCGAATGTATCTAGAAGCGCTGCACAGTGGGATCAGTTTATTGCTCCTCTTGTAATTCTTTGTCGTGCTGCTAGTCTGTCTAAGGAGACAGAGTAGAAAGCAGACTGGAAATCTCATCCAGCTGATACTTGCATGCACACTGTGTACTTAGGAATGTTTCTGGTTTTGTTTTTAACCCCCTCCTCTGTTTTCTTCCACAACTTCCTTCCACACTGCCTTCTTCTGTTAGGCAAAAGGAGCAGATGAAGAAGGAAAATGGAGGGAAGGAGGTAGAGGAAAGGCTCCTGTTCCACGGTGCCAAGATCTCTTTCCTGGAAGTTATCTGCAATCAAAACTTTGACTGGAGGATTTGTGGAAGCAATGGAACAACCTACGGAAAGGGTACGTAGGAAGTGACTGTAGGCTTTAGACCTTAGGCTCCCCTGTGGAGAGCGTCCACTGAGAGTACATGAGAAGCAGTCAACGTTTGGAAGGACTCTTTAAGTACAGAGGGCAGTAATTGGTAGTAGGATTTTCGTTCCATCTGGAGAGGGCAGGATTTGCCTTGTGCAAGGTGATGTCTTTTCTCCAGGTACAGAAAGAATTCAGGGATTTGAAAGAGTCTGTGTTGCTGCAGGTGGGAACTCTTGAGGGCTCAAGGTCATAGTTGGAACTTGCTAGAGAAATGGCTGCTGGCTTCTATGGCAGGGAGCAGGAAGGACATGAAGTCCCTGCGTACAGTGAAGGAAAGTTCTCGATTGCTTCTCTAACCTTCTCATAACGACACACATGACTGTAACGTCTGGGATTTGGTTTGTTTGATATCTGCATATACCTAAACATGAAAGTTCTGAATAGAAATTCTGTGGTGAAATGCTTTGACTCTTGTCAAGAATTCTGTGGTAGTGCATAGGCTGAGTACAAGGAGCCCTGCAAGTTGGGTCAAAGACCTCTGGAGAAAGGAAGGAAAATTCCATTTTCCAAATGTACCTTTCCAAATTAATTCCTTCTACCATCTTTTCTCACTATTTTCTAGGAAGTTACTTTGCCAGAGATGCTTCTTATTCCCATGAATACTGTCAACCGGAAACCCAGCCGTAATGTTTGTGGCTCGTGTATTGGTTGGAGATTTTGTTGAAGGCAATGCAAGCTATGTTCGTCCCCCAAGCAAATCTGCTAGTATGCTTCGGTTTTACGACAGCTGTGTGGACAACAAGTTAAATCCCTCCATTTTTGTTGTCTTTGAAAAAAAAACAGATTTACCCAGAATATCTCATAGAGTATAAGGAGGCAGAAAAGAAATGTATTGTGTCTTAGAGAAGGATGAGAGCAGGCTGTATCCCTCATCTTATTCTCCCTTTTACTCAGTGACTTTTTCTGTACCCCTCTTCTGAATGTGTTACTGAAGAACTTCCATACTGAGGAGGGCTGGAAAAGAGAGGTGGTCTTTAAGAATCTCATCACCTTGTCTTCTCCTCTTCCTTACCAAAATTGAAGAAACATTTGCCTAAGCAGAGTAGAACGATCAGAATCAAGGTTAATTTTGTGACTTTGGTGGGAAAATAATGGTAAACAGTTCTTTTGGAAATAGGTGAAGAGGATTGATTTCTCTTTACTAACAGGTTCAGGTAAGAGCAAAATCAACAGTATGGTAGTTTTCAAGCAAACTCCCTGTTTTTTTTGTACTTCTCCAACATGCTCCTGTAGTGTTTTGCAATGTTGAGGGCTTTGTGAAGTCTTCAAGGTTCTTTTCCATACAGAATATGGCTGTTCTTGATGCTCTCTTCTGTCACAATTCTAAGCAAGTTGAAGTACTTAAAAATGATGTGACTTTGCTTTCAAAATGCCATCTATTAATGCCATACTAATTTCATGTTTAATGCAGTAAAACAAAACTAAACTTCTTTTAAGCTCATAATGAATGCTCTCCAGTGGAGAAGTTTAAGTGGTCCTGTGGCAGCTACTGCTCTTCAGATTAGGGAATTGTTGGATCAAATTCTTTTTGCAAATCTGCAAACAGTTACGGTACTAACTTGCTCTGGACCTAGAGAGTGCAGACAGGCGAGCAGAACCCAAACTGTGGAAATCACAGTCTAGGAATCAGCTTGTCCTCAGATATAGTGTTTTGTCAGCAACTAATGGCCAGAAGCACGTAAAAATTCTGTCACAATATAGGCCAGCCTTTAAAATGAATGTGCCTGTACATTTTCCCTGGGTTGCTCTTTCACAAAAACGAGTAGCCTCCCAGCTAATTCTTCTCTTCAACACAAGTCAGTAAATCAAATGTACTACCCAAAGATCAGAAATTACAAAGAGGGTGGGGAAGTGTAGAAAACTAGGCAAATGCATTGCAATAACTCTTTTAGAAGTAAATGCAAATACTCATTGCTAGTAACAGAAGGAGGAAACAATTTTATTCTAATTAAAGTCTCTCGCTGTGCCTGTAGAGTTCCTCAATCACTTTGAGATATGCAGTTTATTTTCAAATAAAATGTATTTTCAGCCACTTTTTGCTTCTTTGTGTGCATTTAACCTCCTGCAAACTTCTACCTTTTTTCTGGGTTAATGACCTGAAAAGGGAAGAAGATGTGCAAAAAATTACTGTGATGGCAGGAGGATGGAACGTGCACAGGAATCCACTCTTGTGTCCGTTAGCACCTAAGCCCTGCCAAGAGGACTGCCTCACAAGAGAAGTGCAAGGCATGCCAGAGGCACACAGCCCTTTGAACAAGGATGTAACAGCTGCAGACTTTGGTCTCAGGTGTCTTTTAGTCACTCTGGTTCAGAGGGACTGACTGTCATAATCCCTAGTGGCTTCACAAACACTCACTTTTGAAGGAAAGTGGGCTACGGTTAGGAGACTGTATTTTCAAAGAACCTTCCTGACTGACTTCCCCAGGGACTTGGATTTCAAAGGGCTTTCTTCTGGCAATCATGGTCAAAAAGATTTTGGTACTATACACTTTTTTAAAAGGCCCTTGTAAACGGCAACATTCTTTAAAGCTCTTTAAAAAAAAAGGACCACCTGGCCACCAAAGCATGGTGAAGGAGAGCCATCCATGCAATACTGCCTTTGTGCACAATCCTATAAAATCCTCTGCATGCACTTCCAGGTGACTTTCCTCTCCCTAGAAAGTCTTCTAAACTGAGGGCTGAAAGGTGCACCTCACATAGGTAAGAGAAGGGTCATGGAGGGGGCCAGCAGCACTCTGAGCTAAATACCTGCCAGAAGGAGTAAACTCCTTGCCGAGTCTGAAAATATTGGTGTTGCTTTTGAATTTCTGGACATGACTTTCTCGCTTCTCCTATAAACCTGTAAACGCACAAGTTCTGTGTACCCACAGCAGTGGTACTGTCAAGGGGCAAGACAGATAAGCCTGAAGAGCTTTGAAAAGGTGAGTTACCTGCAATTCTGGAGCAAATATTCCAGTGATATGAATTTATGCAAGTATTGCCCAGCAGACCATGTATCTTTTGATCTCCCTTTCAGCCAGATTCCAGAGGTAAATCTCTTATGAGATGTTCCTTGGGGAACGGGGTGGTTGGATGGGGACATAAAAGAAGGGCCGGCAGCCTCTCCTCACTCAAGCGCTTTTGTTTCACTAGGATAACACAAACCACATTGAACAGAAGGAGTAGCTCCAATATTCTAAGTCAAAATAAGAATGGGAAAGCAAAAGCAAAGCAGGAAACCGGAAGGTCTCATCTGCAGCAAATGGTGTAGTACCAGTGGAGTGTAAAAGCCTGAAGTCATCAGAGTCTGTTAAGTAGGCAAATCTACAGGTTAACAACACATTTCAAAAACTTCTCAGTACAAGCGAAAAAGTCACAGACAAGTGCTGACTTAAGCAGATCTGAATGTACTGATGTAAAGCCGAACTAGATTTCAATCCCAGTGTCTTAAGGGTCCCTGCATGTCATTGTTTCATTTGCATCCATTTTTGCACTGGATCACTTAGCTCCATTCACACTGGTGACAGATAGTTAATGGTGAAGAAGTTCTTCATTTACGCATACGTTTCCTCTCTCAGAAAAAGCAGATCTATGCAACACTGCCATGGCTTCCTCTTGCAATTCTCTGAAATAGTGATTCAAGAAGGACTACATTGATGCTGGAATTCAAAGCAAGGGTCTATTTCTGGTCTTATATATAAAGATAAAATATCAACCACCAGAGAGCACCACAGAATAGACTGGATTTTCCATTTCCGTAAACACTAAGTAAACACTAGGGAAAAGACAGTCATCAGAAACCAAGGAGGCCTGCTGTTTGTGGAAGGAAGAGTTTTACCTCTGCCCTTAATGAAAGGCAAATCAGCTTAGAATTTTCTTTAAAGTAATGCATATCCATGATGGATATTACTAATGTTTTACGGTATTCTAGCTTTATTCTACCTACAGATCAGATCATATCTATATATTGGTCAGTGCAATATTGGGCTAGTCTCTCTGCTACAGATATACCTCTTCGCAAGCAGTGACACAGCAAAAGAAACCTGTGCTTTGCTCCTGATGAAATCAAGACCACAAGTAGCACACAGCCCCCATAATCTGCCAGATAAATCCACCAAGCGCCTGCATTTAAGCCAGCTACTAACTGCTCCATGGACCTATGTACAGTCCTTTTGTAAAGGAAGAACACACACACCCCATCAAGCTCTAATGCTATTTTAGACTGAGATGTCACAAACGCACATGCTCTACTGTTCTCAAACTGCTCCAAGATTAAAAGCAGAGATTTCAGCATGTGGTTGCTAGATGTGCTCTTAAGCCAACAGTGCATTTAGCTGCTCCATAGGAGGTGGAAATTTTTACTATCTGTAAGGTCATAAAATCTCCTGTGGGAAGCAGAATCCAGACCTTGATTCTGGAGTACAACAGTCCAGAATTATATTTGTGACAACCTTTGTTACCTAGAATGTGAATTAAGTTGTTTGGAAGGATGCGAAGAGTGTGGCACCTCTATCTAATTTCTGTTCTGATGACAGAACAAGGAAACCCTATTGAGAACGTAAGTGAAAATTTACAGCAAATAGGGGACTTACCGGAATTGAGGTTAGACCAACCTAAACCCAACTTGCCAAATAGACAAAAAAGAATGGAAAATGCCACAGGGCCGGACTTGGGGAGCGGTCTCGATTATTTTGGCTGCTGTTACAGAAGGGCATTGATAGACAGGAAATTGATGGGAAACCAACAGAAGTATTACGCTAACGGGCACGCCAACATCATGTCCGTACGGTCCAGGCAACCAAGCAATGCTCAGGAATAATGTCTGAGCCCGATAGATCACAAGTGTTGTACCCGTAGGAGGATGTAGAGCTGACGACATTGCGATTCAGACTAGGTGGGGCCTGCACCAGATTTTCCCCCTCAGTCAGGAGAAGCTCGGACACCCGAAACGAGAATAGGGGAGTGACCAAGCTCCGGTATCTGAAGGGTTCCAATTTAACATCACTCGCTGAGACGATCCACTGTTTGTTACACGTACCATTTATTGGTCGGAACAAAATACACAAATGGTCTGCGCTTTGGTGGACACCGGAGTGGAGGTCACAACAGTGCATGGGAACCCAGAAAAGCACAAGGGGGAAGCAATCCCCCTTTGAGGTTTGGGTGACCAGCCCATCAAGGGAAAGCTTGAGACGTACTTCCATCAAGCTATGCACTGGACTCCATCAAGCTATGTGCTGGTGCTGTGACCAGGGAAAGTCCAGATGATCCAATCAATCAGCGTGCTCAACGATAGAGGGTTGACCAAAGAGTGGACACCCCTTACCCTGATGAGAGGGATACCCTGTGTGAATCGTGCGGTAACCACCTCAACTGTAGCATAAGAATTTGGAGAGAACTCTAGTATCTTCCCTGCTAGGGAAGGGTTGTTATTAAACCGTAGAGGAATACTTGAATGGGATGCCAGGGCGGGGGGATCCGCTGGCTACGCCGAGATGTTCGCATACATATTGTCCCTAATGCGGAGGTTTTGCGGTTCATGTATCTCACTCCACAAAGTGCCAGCCAACACCTGCTCTTGCTAAATCCCAGTCAGAGTATAGAGAAAGATTTGATACTGGGCATCAAAAACTTGTCCGATCAAAAAGTTAAGCTATTGTCTGGACCATTGGTAACCATTGTCCCTGTGTACCAAGTTGCACCAGCCGAAAGGCCTTTCCAGGGATTTCCTGGGGAAGGAGTGTGGTACATTCCAGCAGACACTCATGACCCCATAATAAATAATAGCTGCCGATGATTCCCGGGTGGTAACCATTGCCATAGGCGGAGATTCGGACTGGAAGAGGGTCCCTACGGATCACCTTACATGGAGTTGAGACAGGATGGGCCAAGAATCGAAATAATCCCTGAGA